ATGGGATCGATTGCAAATATTAAAAGAAAATCAAATTTGCCCATCAAAATCATCTTGCGATTCCAGAATATTTACAATAAAGAGAAACTTGACATTTAAGGCTAATATATCCACATGGAAAGAACAGTGAATTAATTCACCGCAAATCTTTTGGAAAGAATTTATGATTTAAGAAGTCACGATTAATTCCTATCTTAATTTGAAGCATCCATTTATTCCTCAATTCAGTTAGATTTCAACGTGAAAGGTAATTATGGATGCTCAAATTGCCACTATTCTTCAAAATAGGGACTTTTCTCAAATCTGGAAGTCAAAATAATGACAGGCATAATTGTAAATATGAAACCGTTTTTAAATAAAGGTCTACATGGCCTGTATATAATCTATAAATACTGTTCAAAACAGTTGGCGTTCTGCAAGGATCGGCTTAAGAGTTTAATAGCTGCAATGCTACAACACGGAAAAAAATGAAAGCATTCGACGATCTTGAAGTAAATTAGTTTCTTGGAAATGTTCTTATACTACTACTCTTTTGATATTAGTTGGATTTTGATTGAATTCTGAATGCACTTTTTTTAACTTCATCCGAACAAATGCAATACTTACTGTAAAAGCATGCTTGAATTTCAATGATAATCTGAAAATATCAGAGAAAGTTCACCTCTACCTATGTGAAATTGTCACTGCAGAGATGGACAAGTGGTTCACACTGAAACAAGTATACCTTTGTGATTATAAGTAAAGAAGTAAACAATAGCAAAGGTTGTCATCGGACTGATTATCACTTCTCGCTCCTTTCTCGGTTACCTGAAATTTACTTCAACTTAGATGCGTCATTTGACTAAGTCTACAGAGCGCATATCTACGGTTTGCAGTCAATTATTCGGCAATGTGGAATGAATACGTTCGATGGGAGAAAGGTCATACTATCTCATTGTGAGGCATGAATGCATAAAGAAGAGGATGTCAATAGTCACTGGATAGACCAGTCGAAATAGGCAATGGAACATGAATAGATAGGCGGTCAGTGTCGAAAATTATCCGTAATTATATCAAACAAAAGTACATTGAAGGTTAAAAGCTGCAGACATCTCGTATCTGATGGAAAAGCCGCCTCAGGCACTTCTGGCAGTAGCGGGATGGAATAGATGGATGGGAGTGCTTCGACAAACTCGAAGTGAGTCGAGAGGACATTGTAATTCGTCGATTATCAAGCCTATAAGTCTTGACCACCAACAGTACAATTTATTTGAAAGATGGATTGAATAAGATGATTTGAAATGTTGAAGTCATTCCTGAGGTCTGTCATAGATTTCAGGACGCAGTATGATATTCACATACAAATGCAGGAAGCAAATAAGATTATGATAAGCTAAAGTAAAGTTCTCTTTGGGAAGATTATAAATGAAGAAGTCACATTGAATATGATCGATTCTCTATTTAGTCCTTCTCCGAAAATCGCACTCGTTCTTCGTACGCCTCTACGTTTTTAATTTGAGTTTAAAAAGCATAGATGGATACACTCACATTGCAACTAAAACATACCTTCTTCTTAAACTGCCGATTCATTTGGTGCATTTCAAAAACATAATTTGACACTAACCAGTTTAAATGGAACTAGAAAGAAAGCAGAAATAAAAATGAAATGCATTCTTCTATGTCGGCACAGAAAGACGCAGACATAACTCTTGAATGATGTACATATTTTTATTTTTTGAGAAACAAAGAAGCAACCGATGACAATCACTGATTATTTCTGCAAGATTAATTTCAAGATTTTATTTTGATTTGAATCATGCAAACAAAGAGAGATGATAAATAAAACTCAAGGCCAAACAAGAGACAATTATATTTCACAAGAGAACTGTGGAGAGAAATTATAACTTTAACACAACAATAACTGCATACTCCACTCTCATTCTCGAGTTTCAAACATAAATTAGCGTCTAAAATAGTACTGTTATGCAATTAATCAATCCTAACAGGTTAATTAATATGTGCAAGAAACAAAATAAGTAAAACATAGTAAAATTCAATTGAAGAACTCAAAATAAGGTGATAAAAGAAATGACAAGCAAAATAAAAACTGAAAGGCATGAATTTGAAAAACCTAGTTCACATTAATTAATAAGCTGTTCATATAGATCACGAAAAATATCTCATTACTCTTTTTTTTTACGAAAATATCTCTTTACAAACGGAACCATTTATTTCATTGATAGCGAGTTCTTCTTATGATAAGTAAATGACTTTAATAATCATATTTTTTAGAATCAGCACACATGTATACACATTAGTGCGATTATAAAAATTCTTTCCATGTATGATCAAAAACAAAATATTTCTCTCTATAGAATATAAAACTAATGTTCTTGAAATGTCACTAGAAAATTTGATCTCAAACAAAAACTGAATAAATCAATTAACATAATAACACCGATATGAAGTTAAAACTAAAGGTGGCTAAAATCACGAGGTCCAAGAACACTGCGGGATGTTCCTTTAAGCGTCGACTCATCATCAGTCTTCACGACTGTTAGAGTATTAGTTCGTGTATCGATATCAAGACAACCAAGAAGAGAAGCTGCTGCATCCTGTTCCACCTAATGTTGAATGAATGTATTAATAAGTACAAATAGGAGTAATCTGTCTCGAATCAAAGAATTTGCAGCAAAATATGTAAAGATTATATAATGTTTAAGTTAAGTGATGGTATAATAGCAGCAGATATTAAAGCACTCTCAAATTTTACAAACTAACAGCATCAAAAGAATATTTTATAACCTTGATTTCATCTAAAGATAATTTATTTTCATCTGACGTCAAAGCAGAAGGAAATGAGGATACTGCCTCACTGTCTGAAATTTCATCAGCTGTGGATTCATTTAAACTTAAACAGCTTTCAGTCGGTTCTTCACCAGCCCATTCATATAATCGTCGTTTCCACAGACGTACCTGCAAGGCTTAAGATATATAAAGTTTGATTTCTCGAGATTAGCTGCATTAGAAAGTTTTATTCCTAGAGAAAAATCGTTCCATTGAGAACAAAAGCAAATTAAAAAATAATAACCTGTCTGTCCCATGATCGACGCGAGTACTGGATATATTTGTTAGGAGTTTTTGGCATATTTTTTGTTCGAGCATGTCGTGGTACTTTTGCAAGATATTTTGCATATACTGGTTTCTCCTTTGCCTTTTCAATTTCCTTAAAATAAAAATCACCCTTTTAATATTGACAGTACATTTGCAAAACAAAGTTTATCGCAAAACAAAATTTATCTCTACTTATAGTAATTTGACATTTCATACTGCGCAAATGATACCTTTGAACGCCTCAAAAGAGTAGCCTCACTTCTGCACCAACCAAGTTTTGGCTCTGTCCAACCTTTTTTAATACGCAATGTGGAAGCAACACTAGAGCTACTTCCGGGGGAGCTATAATTGTTGTCATATTATTAAAATTTCATAACGCTGTTACTGTTCATTGACTTTTTGCAAGGAATAGCAGTAATTTGTAATTTTTAGAAAAGATTAAGAAACCAAATTTAATATACCTTTCCTTACTAGAATGCTTAGCACTACCAAGAGGTAAATCTTTAGAGTCAAATCTCGAATTGCTAGCTTCACAAACAATCTTTTCCCTGTGCATATCTTTCCTTCTTCTTTTCCGGCATTTCGAAGATGTCGGACCTTCCTCATCATCAGTGCTCATTGCAGAGAGTGTTTGAACTTGCGTTTTGTCTCGCTTAACAGCGCGACGCAACTAAAACGACAGAAATCATTTTTATTATTAAATACAATCTGCACTTTTAGAAATTGTCTTTTGACTTGAATTACTTTGCTTAAAAAACGCAATCTATATGATATAATTTCAGAAATACCGTTTTTCCGGAGACTTCACTGTCAGTTTTCAACGCCCGACTAGCCAACGCTTCTGTAAGCTCTAAATTGCGTTTAAACCTGAAATCAAACAACACTGGAAAACCTTCACGCATGCAAATGAAGAAAAGAAAGAAAAAGAAATGCTAAAGAATTTTAGAATTTATTGTTGAACAAAGAATTTTCCTATTCATCCTTACATCCCTTAATGACTAACGAAAATCGCCAATAATCAGTGAGTGTCTACTGCAGCCCAACGGATATGAATTAAGCGGCTTATTGTACAAATGAATTCCAAACATAAATAAAAATCGAAAGTGAAGTACATGTTCAAATGAGAATCTTTTCTTAAAAGGATTTCACATTCTTACCTGAATTTCGTCCCTGGTTTCTTTTTCAATGGACTAGTTTTATGCCGTTCCATATCTGACTGCTCAGCAGCAATTGATAAACTTGGATATTCCTCGTTAGAACTTAAAATGACACAATCATTCTTTATCGATTGTGTTTTCAGTGCTGCAAACTCTTTATCCCTCTTTGACTGTGAGTCACTTTTCGATTTGGTTACTTCCTCCATCAGATCAGCCCACGAGGTATTTCGCATATCTTCATATTGCTGCTGCTCGAGAAGCGCTTTCAACTGTAGAAAACTTTTTGGAATTCTCTCAGAAGGATCAGAAGTTCTGTTGACATGAATGCGAAATCTGATAGCATGAAACTTCACTAATAATTAAAATATGACAATATAATCATCCCTCATAATTTTTTCAAATTTAAGTCAAACAGACACAATAATGTTACCATTGCTTTATTAATGACAAAGTAGTGGTAATTATAATAGAAGATAACACTAAAATAAATTGATAAAAATGTGAACGAACAGTTTTCGATGTTTTGTTAACAGCCGCATCGCTTAACTCGACTTTTATCACCGTCGATTCATCCGGATCACAGTCTCGGGTTTGTCCTTGTAATGACTGACATTCGGTTACCGCTGAACTTGAACCGTCATCCGTGCTACTTTCCATAATCTCATTCACAAACCTCTGAGACTGCTCACTTCCCAGATTCATTTCCAACGAGCTCGTCCAGGAAGTAAATCTAAATTCAAAATCACAATGAAAAGGGGAAACAAAATACAATCGAAGAAAGCAATCGATAAACCTCCTTCTCGCTCCTCAGTTTTGTAGTGACAACCGTCATTTTAGCACATACAAATCGACATCTAAAAAGGTGAAGAAGTTAGGGAAGCCAGGAAAGGTCAATCCATGCAGAGGTTAGGACAGAGGAAGGATGCACAGCAATGTGTTGAGAGTGCATGTCAGTGCAATGTGGTGTGGCAGGACGCGCGCGCGGCAAATTTAATTTTAAATTATGTGCTGTAGATGGACTGGGATGTGGGAGAGAAGCCTGGTCGGGTCATCCTTTGTGCTGAAGGCGAGCAGCTCATCCTCGAAGCCTTCCCACGAGAGGCAGCACAAGCGGTTGTTATTGTGTTCTGTCACATTAAATCTTAAATTTGACATTTCCGTTCCCTTATTAGTGTGTGCAATTTTTCCGACTTCAACAAATAATAGCTCAATTTCTCAACAGTCACTGAAGTCTTCGCATGATAACCAAGCTTCTTGTTGCTTCTCTTCAAAACTCACTTGTGCTGGCGAAAATTTGTGATCGGTGCAGATGAATTAACTTTTTACTTTTCTACTCGAAAATCTATATGGATTTATACATCGACAGTTTATGTGTATAGACGGTCCATTCAAAATGCGAAAATGCGAAATTCCCCATCCGTTGCACTTTTTCTGAACGTGTTACGTAATACATTGCTTCCTTCGACTTCTTGTCACACTCTTCGACTTTCTGATTGCAACTACCAGTTGAACTGCTTCTTTTACGCCAACATTGTCTTCCAATATTTTCGTCAGTGTGAGCTTTCAATTTCAGTTTCACTTGACTGACATTTGAAAAACACGCTGCTCTCAACTTTTCCTAAAGCCTTACGCGATTTCCCGATGGCAGTCACTTAGCAAGAAGTGCAGTTGCAACTTAGACATGTTCAACTCTTCTCCAAAGGTTTCTTTTTGAAGAGATAAGTTCAATGTATCACTGTCTAAAAAATGAGTTAGCAGAATGAATACGTGCTATTACCGACTGAAAGGAACTATGCTGTCCGTTGCATTGTATGATTCGGTCAGTGAAGAATCTCGCTGACCGAATCATCGTCCCTTATGAGTCAAATGATATTGAGAGGGCAGCAACTAAGCGTTGTGTTAGAACCGAAACAAAGCAAGGAAGATGTAAGGCTCCTACTTGTTACTTTCTGATGGTTTCTCTCTTCTTAAGCTTTCTCTATCACTAAGTTATTCCTCTTAAGAACTTCATGTATGCATTTTTTTTCTGCAAACTTTTATTTGCACTATCACTGCCATTATAATGACTAATATATCAATATCATGTACGGAAATGAATGTTTAGATGATTACAACTTTGTGGACACATATCCGAATCCTTTCGCTGGCGAAAAAATCAGCCGGCATTTCCTTATACTGAGCCAAAAATGCAACTGCTTCAGTGTTGACCAAATCGCATTTGATTTTTCCTTTCACGTTGAAACGCTATTAGTATCGCACGTTAAGATGTACTAAGTTTTGGTGTGAACTTTCAGAGAGTCTTACCACGACGACTAACATATGTTTATGTTGCAGGCCCTCGAAACTACGGAACTCGGGCAGTTCCTTCAACACTTCCAGGATTTGTGTTCCATTTTTGTGATAAAAATCTTAATTTCTCGATCAGCTTAAAAATTTCTTTGTATATAGCATGACGGCTATTTTTGTCATTACGTTTCGCAGCGCCAAAAGATCCTTTTCTTTGAAGGATCTGAAAGTTGAGAAAAGTCTAGTTATCTCTTTCGGTACCATTTGAAATCATTTAAAAATGTCATCAAGCGATCTGACCTGTCAATTACTTCTTCCTTTCTTTGTTTACCATTATTGATCGCTATGATATAAATTCTCTCACGATGCATTTGAATGAAGTTTCGGTTTAACCAGCTACATTGTTGACTAAACTTAACTTTTGGACAACTTCACATAGAGATAACAGACAAAACGCAGCAAACATCAAACAGATACACTGACATCATTTCAATTTCTAGCAAATTTGCATTTCAAACTCAAAGTTAGAACGAAGGTATGCTTTGGTTGATAGATATTTTTATTATTCAAGGAGTTGAAATTTTGGCAAATTCATGCAGTT